AACCCCCATTTTCCTGGATGGGATTTGCAACTTGTTCTTGATTTTGTCTGTCTGACACCATTTGCGCATTTGCAGACAGCTGACCTAAAATGAATATCTTTAAAGACTGCTTTTTTGTTGGCAATTTCATCTGCTAAGTGTGTAAGTGAGTTACATGCATTGTCCGTTAAGTCCGTTACATTGAGTTATGTATGTGTTGGTTGCCAGATGATTCTGGTGTTGTGCTCAGACCAAATCCTTCTTTTCTACCTAAAGTTCTGCTTCCACAGTTTATAAATCAGTCAATCAGTTTAGCAGCTTTTCAGTCAGCACCACAGTCAGATAATTTAGGGGATCACCCCTTGTGACCTGTGCGAGCCCTGAAGGGATATGTGACTGCTACAGTCCATTTTAGCACAGATCAGCTTTTTGTTTGTTATGGTGGTGCAAGGAAAGGGACCACTGTTTCAAAGCAGAGATTGTCAAATTGGATTGTTGAGGTTATCTCTTTGGCATATAAGAAGGCCCAAAAACCTTTGCCAGATGGTATCTCTTGTAATTCCACTAGGGCTGTGTCTACATCTTGGGCTGCTTTCAGAGGAGTCTCTATGGCGGATATCTGTGCTGCTGCTACGTGGGCTTCCCCGTGTACTTTTGCCCACTTCTACAAGCTCAACGTTGCTGCCCCTCATGCTGTCAGTTCAGCAGTTCTTCAGGAGCAGCCTTGAACTTTTTTTCAGGTGAGGGGCATTCCTCATGACTATGTTGGTAGGAGTCATCCACTAGTGCTTAAGCACCGCCTCTGGCGGTCAGGAGGAATGAAATAGAACGCAAGTTACATATGTAACTGTGGTTATGTGAATTCCGGATGATCGCCAGAGTTGTTTGTCACTCGGAATGCGTGAGGAAGACCAAAGGCTGAGCTAGTGTGTCTATTATACTCGAGGCTCAGCCTACGTCACCACGTGACTTTTTTGGTATATTATCTCGACCTATCGAGCTGGCGCTGCGATAATCCACTAGTGCTTAAGCACCGCCTCTGGCGGTCATCCGGAATTCATAGAACCACAGTTACATACGTAACTGGCGTTATGTTACCTACGTTTGTAATTCATTGTGCCACATCACAATGCAACAGTACTACTGCTTGGGTGAGCAGTTCAGGTACAGCTTTTCTAGCACATGAAATTGTCCAATTACCAACCAACCAATGAATATGGGGACAAATGTCGACTATAGATCTATTTATATTAATGTTAATTTTAATAAGCAGACTCCCATATTCATTATCTTAAATAGCTTGCCGTTGTGAACACTGTTGACTTTAAAGACCGGTCTTTACAGAGATATTTACAAATATTCCTAAATGCACGTATACTATAAAAATAATGATTAAAATATAATAATTCATACAAAACCAAGGTGTAATCATTTAAATGAAATTAAACCTACCACCTGATAGATACACTACAAACATACAATGTTTGCAGCATGTAATCAGTGATTTTTGGGCTGAGGTAAAATGTTGTCTTCGGCAGAGGGGCTGGCAACCTGAAAAGTCTTTCAAGACAAAAAAAGCATGAAATGTGGCACAGTAATCAAATCATTAAAGCAATTAAAGTATTCAAGGGTCACACACTCCAAGGTAGAATAAATTACTTCAAACTAATTGTCTGTTATAAAATTATCACAGAGCTTTACAGAGCAACAGGAATAGGTCAGAGGAAGGCCTTAGACTAAATTAAAAGGTCTTTCTGAGATGGACAGTACTGGGATATTAACTTAATAGCATCTCTACATGTGCTGGTGAATGCACAGTGAAATATAATACATCTATTAATAAAGAAATATTTTTTTGAAATATTGTCCATATATCTCATTTAAAATATCAATTTTTGATCTTGCAGTTTCAGCGATTTAAAGATATAAAATGACCCTGTCTTGCTCTAAATGCTCTGTCAACCTGTCAACATGTATATAAAAGGTCATCATTTTTGACTCTTAGCACCAGCATGTAATATGCTAGAGGACTGAGGTAGCTGAGTGTCAAAGGCCAAGAAAAGGAGCTGACTCTGTCATACTTTTCAGGAGACAAGGGGGAAAGAGGAGCTCTGCTCTTGAAGACTCATGTCATTCTTTGGGGTCATCAGCCATCAAGTACTTAAAATTATAGCTCACCCAGAAATGAAAATTGTTCATTTACTCACCATTATGTTGTTCCAAACCCATAAGCATATGCTTATCTTCAGAACACAAATGAAGATATTTTTAATATTCTCGCATCATTTTTGACTATCCGTTGAAAGTCCACACAACCCAGCTTTTTTTTTTCCAAGCTCCAAGAAGCTCATAAAGACATTGTAAAAGTAACCCATATGAATCAAGTGGTTTAGTCCAACAAATTTAAATAAGCTATTATTCACATATAAACATAGATCAACACACATACAGTACATAGAGCACATCAAATATGGTCAATGGCAGCTCAAATGTACTTCACTGAAACAAACTTCACCAGTCAAGCAAGAACATTTCAGCTTCCGTTTACCATATTTGATGTCCTCTATGTGTGTTGAACAATGTTTATATGTGAATAAAAGCTCAATTAAATCTGTTTATCATATAAAGTAATCATGTCTCTTCAGAAGACTTGAATTAAACCACTCAATTCAGATGGAATACTTTTACAATGTCTTTATCAACTTTTTGAAGCTTGAATATTTTGGTTGCATAGACTTGGAGGGACAAAATGAAGCAAGAATATTAAAGGGGTCATATGATGTTGCTAAAAAGAACATTATTTTGTGAATTTGGTGTAATGAAATGTGTTTATGCAGTTTAAGGTTCAAAAAACACATTATTTTCCACATACTGTACATTATTGTTTCTCCTCTATGCCCCGCCTTCTGAAACACGTCGATTTTTACAAAGCTCATCGGTCTGAAAAGCGAGGTGTGCTCTGATTGGCCAGCTATCCAGTGCGTTGTGATTGGCCGAATACCTCAAGCGTGTGACAGAAATGTTACGCCCCTACCATACTGTGATGCCGTGTCCGGAGCGACGAGATCGTCCTCTTTTGGAAGGCCAAACAAAGTAGTTTCGCTTTCACAACGAAACACACAGCGCCTTCACGACATGACGGCAGCAACAATACTACAGCGAGAATAAAAGTTACGCCTTCTTTCTTTGCGTGAACATTTGGGTGGCGTTATGCAAATCTTCCCACATCGTGACGTAGACATGTGGGGTTGTGTTAGAACAAACCGTTTTCGGTAGGCGTGGTTGACTCTTAGAATATCTCTTTGGATTTGAGACTTTAGTCGTTACAACTTTACTGATCTTCTTTATGCACCAAGAGCTTGTAACACTCCGAAGAGAAAGGAAAAATTGAAATCGCATCATATGACCCCTTTAAAAAATATCTTCATTTGTGTTCCAAAGACAAATGAAAATCATGTGGGTTTGGAACAACATGAGGGTAAGTAATTGATGACAGAAGTCTCATTTTTGGGGGGTGAAGTTACCCTTTAAACATACCCCAGATTGTAGGGTATGCGTCAATAGTCAAAACTAGTCAGCGTTCTTGAATATGGTCTGCAGGACGAGGAAAATAGCCTTTTTGTGAGGTATCCCTTCCCGTGCAAAAGGTCAGAGAGCAAATGCAGGGGCAACCACCTGCTTCTGTCACACAGCTGGAAGAGGGAAAGCTTTCCACCATAACAATCCCTCTATTTCAAAGGAAGTTTGAGTCAGAACAAACCAACAATTCTTCATCTTAAGATAGTGAGCTGTGCCATAGCCTACCTTACACTATACAAATAACTGATGTTAACTTGTAGACAGCGATACCGTGTTCACGGGCTAATTAGGAAGAACTTCAATACAAGAAGTGTTTACAGGTGTTAAATACGTGTGAAAGGCCCCGTGTCCCATGTGGCAATTATAGACAAATAGAAGCACGTGCCCTCTCAGATTTTAGAGTCAAGTATATTTTGAATGCAACCTTGCAAAATATAAAAAACATTGTCTCTGATAATTAGGTTTCACAATTAAGTAAAGCATGATTGTTTTTAAATAGTGTGTAAAACACACAAAAATCAGAAATTTACATGTCTAAATATGGCGTGCCTTAAGGTTCAGTCACACTTACTGTTGTTCTGCAAATATTCATTTCAGTACGAATCAGCAGACATCCAGGATTAGGAATATTGTGCAAACAACTGAATTTTTGACATTCCTAAATGAATAACCGCTTTGACTATCTTACAAAATATACAGAAACTCAGATTCAGTATACAACTCAATTGCTAGCCAGAATATTTAATGAATGAATTAAAATAAAAATTATAAGATACTGTGAGGGCGGATGATTTGCACTGGTTTCACGCAAATTCACCTCGCTGACCTCAAGAAATTTGCTGGATTTGAAAGTGACTTTTGTGTGAGCTGTGCTTCATATATTGCTACACTACTGACAACAGACAATGGACCCTTTGGCCTGCAAAATTTTGCTCCCGCGGCTTTACACAGATCATTTGCATTAAAAATTCTGTTAACGATCATAAATGATCAAAATATTATCAAATGCTCTCTTCCATATAACAAAATGGTTATTACTGGGTTTTTAAATTCATTTTCAATTCTGTACCGCTAATTTCAATGGCCACTGAGCTTTTCAAACTGTTTTGGGTTTGAAAGCGTTAAGGAATGGCAGATCAAATCCTATATTGTTTCATTATGACAATCTTTAAATGAATCAAGGGTTCTGTTTATCAACCAAGGTTTAAATGAACACCTTCTAATGGTGCAAAAATGTCCTCGATGCCGTGAAGCACAGGTCGTCATATCCAAAAATATACATTACATTAAGGTGAAATGTTTAAAGCAACACTTATTTTATGGCATCATAAGTGTATGAATATGCAGTGCAGAGGGCAAAGAGAAACATTTTTAGTAACCACCCTATAGTTAAAAGTGATATTTACAGTATCGAGCTCTGTTATTCAAGCTTCCTCTCTCACCCGTCACACAATCCTGCCATGTCACTAGTCCTCTAATGACCTGCTCCACTCAGTGTTCTTAACACAATCTTGCAACATCCTAACAAAGAGGAAGAGGCTGCAACGAGTTGAAAAAGAGGTAACCCACACCACTATGCTTGGCCTCAGGGAGAGATATACCTCTTTATCCAACTTCCTTTATCCGCTACTGAAGCACCTGAAATTCATTTAGCTCGCTAACAGCCTGCATGCTGCAGGGGAGCCATTTTAATAAGTAGTAATAATGCCAACAGACAAAACGAGTTGCTTTCAAAGACCAGCAGGACAATCATGCTTATCAATATCGCACAAGAAATGTAATGAGATGGACAGTCTGGGGTAACTAATTAAAGTCATTTTGCATGTTTAATAGAAAAATATTATTCTTATGCCATGAACTGCATTGCAGATGAACGTAAAAATGAGAGCTTTGCATGTAAATGTAGCTGTTACATTCAATTCAATTTCATTCACAATACATATTATTTCAAAGCATGTATAGAACATACTTGTTTCAATGTTACAATTAGGATATATGTTGCTCCAAAGTGTGGATGAAATTGAATTAAATACATGTGGATTACATTGAGTAATTTGTAAAGCAACGCTGCAGTGTGAATGAAAGGGTTCAAGTATCAAATGGAAACAGATATGTCAATGGAACCAGTCTCCTTTCTTTCGCAGATGTTTGTCACTGTCAGGTTCAGTTGATACCGTGCCCATCAAAACACGATGTCTGTTAGGTGACCTTTAGGTTGCTACCAAGTGTGAGGTCATGCTGCTGTTGCCATGACTACTATCAGCAGATTGTCTGCTTGCATGCATTACCTCAGCTGCCTGGCATCGGTGGGGTTACAGAACAGACCGTGACCTCGCCATGGAGACTAAACTAATCTAAAACAATAACAAGCAGCGCACACACATGCAGGGGGAGATTTTGTGAGATTACCATAAATAGTGTTTCCTAATATCACACATCCAATATATACCTCAAGATATAAGGGAATGAGAGCTGTATGCACAAAGAATTCAGTAAGGAAAACATAAACATACTGGACTCCTATGAATAGAATTGATTATTTTTTTTACTATGGTACACATGTAAACGCTATGACCAATGTCCAAAAGTGTACAGTTCAACAGCCTCTCTGTGGACTTGAAGGGGTGACAATGAGAGAGAGAGAGGAATGGCAAGGCAGCCATATTCTAATGAGCGAGCTACAAACTGTGTGTCAAGTGACCTGTGCAGAGGCGAAGTGGGCTAATTTGAGCCTGTGCTAATTGCCACGGTAACGAGCTGCACGTGTGGATGGTTGCGAGGAGGATGGCAGCATGGCATAAGGGAGGATACAGTCCTCCTAACACCAAAGAGGTGTGAAAGAACGAACTTGTCCAACAACATGCTGCCTGCTGGAGTCCAGCCCTGAGTGGGGAACAGCCGGCTGCTTCAGTGCTATGCATAGAACAGAATATTGTGTGTGTGTGTGTGTGCTTTTGTGTGGGGGGTGGAGGGGGATCTGTTAATCAAATTATGATTTAGTCACATTATGGTTGTTACCATACAATAAAATTTAATAAAAAAATGAAGCTTTTATTTTTATTTGATAGAAAAAAGACATTCCTGTATGAATAATCTGTATGAATATAAGGTCCCATTAGTTCAAATGAATTAATGCATTATCTAACATTAAATAACAATGGGCAATACATTAGTTACCGTGTTTATTAATCTTTTTTAATGTTAATAATAATACAACAACTGTTAGTTCTGTTAGTTCATGTTAGCTAATAATAATATTAAAAGATAGAGCTGTGTATTAGTAAATGCTGAAATTAACATTAATAATAACTTCCATTGTTATTTCTTGTTAACTAATGTAGTTGACTAATGTTAATAAATGAAGCATTATTGTAAAGTGTTACGGAATAACATATGTCTATATTACAATATCAGTTGTACGGAAACTCAGAATCAGTATAATTCAATTGCTAGCCAGGACATTTAACATTAATAAATAAAATTATAGTATTAGTAGTAATAATAATAATCATAAAAAATAATACAATCTTAAAATGAGATAATATGCTAACTGTAAATTCCGTAACACACTAGAATACGGTCCAATTAGTTAATGTTAGTTAATTCATTAAATAACAATGAGCAATACATTTGTTACAGTATTTATTAATCATTAATTAATGTTAGTTAATAAAAAAATACAACTCTTAATTGTTAGTTCATGGTAGCTCAGGCTGATTAAATAATATTAACAGGTACAACTTTTGATTTTAATAATCATATTAGTAAATACTGAAACTAATAAAAGGCTAGCTAATATTGATAAATGCTTTCAAAGTATTTTCACTGTTAGTTAATGTTAACCACTACTAATGTTTACAAACAGACCATATTGTAAAGTGTTACTGTAAATTCTATTTTAAATTTGTAGCATTACATCAATTAAAAGGAATTGTACTGACTTGACTCAACCAAACATTTATAAAAAGCACTTAAATATATAAATAAATAAATTTTAAATATGGTTATTAATTTTAAATCCCATTTTACATTTATATCATTAGGCTACATCGACCTTAAAATTAATTGCAGTGATGTAGGGGTTTCTGTCAACTCAGATTCAAACATTTCTAAAAAATAATTGATGAAAAAAAAATATGACGATTTTTTTTCATTAATTTTAAACCTATTGTCCTTTTATATCATTACATTATTTAAAAAAAAAAAAAGTTTTTTTTTTCCCAAGCCGTAATTAGTCAGAATCCATTTTCTATATAAATATAAAAAAAAAAATCCTTCGTGGTCAGTCAAGGATACACCCTGAAAGCTTGGGGGCACCTTGTCCCTTTCTCGTTGCTCTGTCGGGCGATCTCCTCTCTCTGTGAGCGAGGGAGTGAGTGAGTGAGTGAGTGAGTGAGCGCGCTCTGCTGTTGCTGCCCTTTGATCCCTGCATTAGTGTTAGTTAGGGGCTCGGAGACACACACTTACAGAGAGCAGCCATAGTCAAGACACGGCAACAACAACAGCACCTCCTCCTCTACTCTTCCCTGTTCCCAACAATACACTTAACCGAGGACAGCCAGGTGCACGACAAGTCCCTGCCATCAGGCTCCCTCGCAAAATTTCAATGGGAAAAGACCTTTTTTCTTCTTATCCCTAAACAAGAAGGAGAATGTGATAAAAGGGGGAAAATGCCAAGGAGGAAACAGGAGCAACCCAAGCGCCTGCCTTCACGTAAGTCGTTTTCTCGTTCGGCGCGATTTTAGCGCGTCTCCGTGTGTTTTGCGCAGTAGTTTAGGGTTAAAGAGGTGAAACGGACAAAGGCACGGCGGAGGTTATTTCTCCTTTTTTTAGGTCTGTGCTAGGCAGCCATGTTGGCGATGAGGGGGCTAGCGGAGCGAGCGCACTAGCGGTGCCTTTAATTGCAGATAATCGATAAAGGTCCCGTTCCGCCTAAAGGTTGCGGCCAGTAAAGCTCGCGTTATCGCCGCTTATTTGGCGCTAATGGCCGCGCGTCTTTTCTTATATGTGTCCGTGCGAGCGAGGCAGAGACGCGCGGAAGGGAAAGGGGAGGTTCTGAGGATCTGGCCGCAATAAAATGAAGGGTCAGTCGGATCAGACTGAGAGCCAGACTCAGCCTTCTATCCGTGCCCCTGCCTTTAACGTTACTTAGCTCCAGCGCTATCTAGCAGCAGCCCGCAACTTCGAAATGCGTCCTAAAAGACGTTCGTACAACTTCGTGTCGTGTGTGTGTGCGCGCGACTTTTTTCTTTCGTTTGTCGAGCGGGATTTTTTTAAATTGAGGTATTTTCTTCCACCCCTCCCAGTTCAGCGAGGTTCGTGTCTGCAGGCTGCCTGTGTCAAAGCCATGGTCGGTCACCTGAAGTTCAGGGTTTTTTTCCTTCCTCATGCAGCCATTCATTGCAGACAGTCTGCGATCAATAACGCACGAAAGGCGAAACGCGTTTTCTCTCGCTTCGAAGCTCGTGCGACGGAAATCTCACGGTTTGCGCTGTTTTGCACGGGTTGCGTTTGGGATTACTAATCGCGAAATTTGTTCATTTGACCCTGTGTAGCTGGATGTTAACATTGTGCTTTTATCAGCTCGCTAATAACGACTGTAGTTGCGTGAGCCGGCCGCTAGAGGGGACATGATGTGTAGAGTGTGGAAAACATCGATCAGAGGAATTGGCGAAATGTGGCACGGTGGCGCTTTAAGTGCACGAAAGCAAGCGCTCATAATGCATCTTTGTGCGTGATGCCATTCAAACGCGAAACGGCGCCTTTTGGGACTTTTTTTTTTTTTTAAAGTCTGAGACACTGGCTTTTGCTGCTCTCTGGAATTTTCTGCTTGTATTCTAGCAGCATTGCATTGTGCTGATGTTTCTTCATAATGCCAAACATGTTTGTTTACATCCATTGAACTTGTCACAGTCATTTATGTCATTTCTACTCGCTTTTAACTCTTCCATCAGTAGTTAATGCAGTTCAAAGTTGTCACTTTGGAACCACTTTGATTTGTTTTTAAAATAACGACACTTTTTGGTGGGTTTAGTGAATTGTTTTACAATGTAACAACATGTAGAAGGAAATTATGTGGAATTATTGAGTTTTATGAAATCGTTTAGATGTTAAAATTCAACAGTGAGGAAAACATTTTTTAATAGAAATGCAGGATATAAACCACTATATTATAATGATGAAGTGTTGTAACTAAACGTATTCATCAAACTTAACTTGTTAAATAAACATATAAAGTTATTTAGTAACAGAAACTCAGGGTATGGTACATAAACCTTAATATTAAAATAAATGATCATTTTCTTTTCATAACTTTAATAACTTTCTTCCAGTCATGGTTGTTTAGAAACTAGACATAATATCTACTGCCATTTGTCCCACCTCTCAAAATCACCCACTCAGCAAAAGCTCGTCTGAAGTTTGGTGGCGCTCCACGCAGCGTGATGTCACGTTTCATTACGTTCTGTTTGTGTTCATTTCGCTTTAACACCTGTGAGCAGAGAGGCAGACGACAAGCACAATTGTTGATCTAAATTTAAAGTTTGAGTTCAGGACAGTGGAACTTGTGTGCTGCAACTGTTTGTGTGCTCTTAACGTGCCAGGCATCTGCCGTTTTTCTTTTCGGCGAACGTTTCCGTGTAAAGGCTGTGGCATATCCTTTTGCAAGTGTATCTTTCACTTCCTTTTCTCAAGAATACATATCTGAGTTCAGGAGTGCTTGCGTCACGATGCGCATGGGTCAAGACCTGCAAGAGGGCCTTGATACAGTCTGATGATCTTCTTGACAGTTAAATATGACCTTTAGCTTTAGTGCTAACCACTGGTATTACAGAACCACGGCCTGTATAACACTGTTGCACACTCCTTTTTCCAGAATGCATATTTTGTTCAAACTGCAGGTCACAGTTCAGCAAACTTCCAGTAAACTAATCGCAAAAAGGGAGCCTAGGTTAAAATGTTCCTGTCTTTTTAAGCTGGTTTCCTCAGATTTCCACTCTGAGGTGTAGAGGTCGACTGAGGTTACCTCTTTTTCTCCTTTTCTGCTGGTTCTTTGTCTTACTCGCAAGCATCCATTTTGTGCAAGTACATAGCCCGTATCATTCTTTCACCCTGACCTTTGCCATCAGCTAAAATGTCTCCCTATGGGAGCCGGCCATTTCCATTATACACACAAGATTTTTAAGGTTATCTGCATTTGCAAATGGAGGAATTGGAGCATTGCACGGATTTCAGCTCTCCATTACAGACTGACGGCAGAGTGTGTGCGACTGGGTGGCTCTCCACCTTACCGTAATGGTGGGTCACTGGCTCCTTTCCACTCATCTATGATTATAATGACCTTGGCTGGGCTTGGGCTTGAAAACATTGGATTAAGGGGAAAGGAAAATGAGGGGAGGTTTCCATTTCACTCTTGGCATCTGATTTGTAGGGAAAATCTGCCAAGAATACCCCCTCCTCCTCTTCCTCCTCCTCCTCTTTCTTCCCCCTGCCCCACCAACTTGATCAGGCTCTCTCACCGGTGTCTGCCCATTTGAGCTCAAGCGAATAATGATACACAGGCTTTCCTCTCAGAAATGAATTAAAGGGCAGGGGAAGGGTGGTGGATGCTCTCCTGAACAAGTGCTTACACAGAAAGGGGCTTCAGCCAGGCATACTGAACCAGAACATTTAGATTAATTTGGCTAGCTGGATCGCCTGGCTTTCATCACAGGTGTAGTCTAGCTGTGAGTGCTCAGTCAAAGGCACTGTGGTGACATAATTAAGACAATTTTTGTATGGCTCGATGATTGTAACGGACTAGGCTCGTCACGTGTAAGAAGGTTCATCTTTAAAATGACAAACCACGAAGTAGCCTATGAAAGCACTGAATCAGTCTTGAAGCCAAGCTCAGGGCTCAGCAGTAAGGTTGGGAAGGACCGCTTGCTCTATTGAGTCTGCACTATATCTTATATGTTTTGATCATGCATTTACATTTTTACACTTTGCAAACAGAAACATTTGCTTTTCTGTACCATTTGGTTGCTAACTTTGCTTGTCAACTTTTTAAACTTGTTAGCCAGCTAAAATTATCTAGCTGGCTTAACACAGATGAGGTTTTGACAACATTCTAAGAATGATTTGGATCGTCTTGGTAGCGTCAGTGTAAATGGATTTAAAATTACAAGCCACTCAGAAATGTTTTCATAGTCATCATCGGTGTTTAGGAATTCTTGGTGTTTCTTGGGTGATCATATTAACTGTATAATCTATTATACAGGTCAGCTGTTAATATTGAATATTATCTCCTTCTTTTAAATTCAATTTAAATGTGTAGAAAATGTATAATAATATTTAAAATCATTTTGAAATCAATTTTAAAAATCATTTTAAACTATAATATTTATTTGACATGCTTTTGTTTTTAAAATTTGAAGTGTGAATATACATTAGCCTACTGTTCAAAAGTTTGGGGTCAGTTTTTTATTCAGGATGCATCAAATTGATCAAAACCTAAGTACAAAAAAAATTCAAATTCAAATAAATGCTGTTTTTTAACTTTACATTAAAGAATCATAAACAACATTTATCACGGTTTCTACAAAAATATTAAAAAGCACAACTGTTTTCAAATTATAATAATAAATGTTTCTTGAGCAGTAGATCAGTGTATTAGAATGATTTCTGAAGGATCATGTGACACTCAAGACTGGAGTACAGCTTTGCCATCATATGAATAAGTACTATTTTAAAATATATTAAACCTTAAACATTAAACAGACAAAGAAAAAAAAAACGCCTTACTGTTGTGCTCTGAACCTGTCCATCGATCTTTCTGAGCCTGTAGTTAATCAACATGCTCATTTGGTAATCTTTTTTTCCTAACTATAGGACACACCTTGTGTCCATATATGTTTTAATGAAGCACTACAGACTCTGAATAAAAAAAGTCTGAACACTAGTGTTGTCAAAAGAAACCGTGACAACACTACTGAACACAATGTTTCACCCACCCAAGTTTCAGTCAAAGCCTGTATGGAATAAAAGTGCCTGAGCCGGCTAACGATTTTCCACATGTTGAAAAGTCACAACATGGAGATCTACAGCTCGGAGAGCAGCCCTTTGGCTAGTGGCGGCCCAGCACTGAGTAATAACCAGCTCATAGCAGGCATTCTGCTGGCAGTGGTTCATAAGGAACAGCTCGCTGGTTCAGCTGGGGAAGGGTGGGGGGAGCTCCTGGAGAGCTTCAGGCACTTTCCTGTGTTGTTGTACCACACAAGTGAATCCATCCCCTCAAGGATAGACCTTTAACAGGCTGCTAACACTGGGCCACACCGCACAAGGGATCGAACAGACAGGTCTGACGCAGGCCCAGGCTGCAGAACTGTGCCAAACTGTGATTTGATTTATGAGTCAGTACTCTGGGTCTGTCTTAAGATGAGATGAGGCTTACTGGGCAGAATCAAAGAGCAGTCTGTTCACTTGACAGGGAATGAGAAGAGGCAAGCCACTGTCAGTTTTTAAAACTGAATTTGAATTGTCATATTTTAGAGGAGGCCTTGGAAGTGGGAAGGTCAATAATACCTGGAAAAAGCTATATGTTGTCATTCCCATTCATCTGAATGGCAGTTGCTTGGCTGGCGTGTGACTCCTCTGTACTTGACCTGCTTGCTGCCGTCTTTGCTCATTGTGGTTCATGGCCACACGTTTTTTGGAGCCAGTTGCTTCAGTGGTAA